ATCGTAAGCATTTATGCAGAATTTTTTACTTCTAATACTAAACTACTAACTATGTTTATGTTTTTTTTTACGCTTAAGCTACCCCCGATGTTACACTGTATCAGTACGATGAAACTTCAGGCTATTATTATGATCCCACAACGGGGCTATACTACGATGCACACTCACAATATTATTACAATAGTGAAACTGGCGCATACCTTTATTGGGATCAGCGGAAAAGCACTTATGTGCTGGCCACACCCGCAGCCGCTGCAGCCACCGTGCAGGATGTAGTAAAGAGCGAAACAGGTGAAGATGGCAAGACGGGTAATTCAGCTGCCGGTAGCACAGCTGCTACGGCGACGGCTGCCAATGAGGATGAAAAGAAAGAAAAGAAGGACTCAACGAATAAACATGATAAGGTGAAGGTTGCCAAAAAAATAGTTAAGGATATGGAAAAGTGGGCTAAGCAATTGAATCAAAAGAAAGATTATACAGTAGTTGCAACGCCACAGCCTATATTGCCTTCGAAATCGGACGATGCGCCGACACGAGCAGCGGGTGCAGGCGCTGGTAGCTCCGGACACTTATCCAGTGGTTATGCTGATGTGGGCTTTTCAATATTGGAGAAGAAGGAACGTACAAAATTGGTGGATTATATGCCGACGCCGGCGATCGCCAACAAACTAACAGCCTATGCCTCTGATTCAGATGAGGAACACGCCGCACTAGGGCCATCAACGTCAGCAGGTGGCTCTAATGAGGCGAGTGAAAAGGACTATGTCGACTTTCAGAAACTTACATGTCTGCTATGTAAGCGCGCATTTCAGTCGTTGGAAATTTTGCAAAAGCATTTAAAAATTTCAAATTTGCATAAGGAGAATTTGCAAAAATTCCAGTTGGCACGTGGTGCAAGTGGCGGCGGGGACTCTATGAGTGTAGCTTTGTCGTAAGTGTTTTACATTAGTTTTATCTTTTTATTTTATTAGGCGTACTATTTTCTTAATAAAAATCTTTGTAGTAATTATCGCGATCGCGCCAAAGAGCGCCGTCAAAAGTATGGTGAAAGCGATCCACCTGTTACGAATCGCAGCCGTGAGCGGTTCGAAATGGAAATGAAGTCAGTGGCAGCACGCCAACCCGAAGCGCCGCCAATGCCGATAGGTTCTAACAATGTTGGCAATCGGTTACTGCAAAAAATGGGCTGGTCTGAGGGACAAGGTCTAGGTCGCAAAAATCAAGGACGCACAAGCATCATAGAGGTATGCCAATTGGCTGTATAAAGCGTGTGTAAGGTTTGGTAATCACGTTTTTGTTTCTCATTTTTGCTTATATTCAGGCTGAAGCACGTTCGTCTACAGTTGGCTTGGGCAACAAATCTGGCATCACACCCGGCGAAGACTACAAAACATACATAAAGAAAATGATGAAATCTCGCTATGAATCAGCCTGATTCATTTGTTAGTTTTAAGCATTTATTTTGAATATAAGTGTGGCATAGTTTTACGTGATTTTTAACCAATAAATTTCAATGAAATCAGACACTGACTCCAACAGATACATACATACAAATTTCACTACATAATTGTTGAATATTTGTACGCTATTCAGTTAATAAAGCAATATGTGTTGAAAAAATAACACGCCTGGTTTTATTTGTGCAATGAAATGGTAGTACATATTATTTTAGATAGTAAAAGTACAAATTTACAAAAAATACTCAAGATTGTAACGATTGAACCGATAAATTCAATCTTGTAATGCGATTCAAAGCGGGGATGGGAGAATTATTCTTTGTAATGTTGGTACTCAACTTGCTTCTAGTTGCCAATCCTTTTCAGAGACTTGCAGACGGACTTCATCGTTCACAAGGAATTTGCGCGGCGGATATAACTGTAATCAGAAGCGTTCTTGGAGCTTAACCTGGGCTCGAATGGACATACGATTCGTCACGTAAAAACACAGTTTTATGACATACGAGAACGTACTCTATCCCATTCAGCTTATACGACTGACGCAGCACATAATTTTCTTTCGTATGGGTTTCGATCCGTGAACGAGTGTTACGACCACGCTGTATTAGGGCCATTACATGATCTTCGTTCTCACAAACTCTAAGCGTTACATCGTCGGGCAGTCATCGATCGAATGCATAGACAGGACTTTCAAACCACGTAGGATGAGTAGAAAGTTCTTCGCCAATCATGTTTTATCTTCTACCCAAATAAATTTCTCTCCGGTGCACCGGGGAGGTATAACTTTGTGCTGTGAATTAATCTATCATGGCAAGATCGGAAGTTCTCATCGCATTCATTTCCACGAAGGTTGGCCCTAAATAAGGGCAACAATGCAGATTCGTGAAATTGATGACTTCAGCTCGAAAGTAAACGGCTACCTCTCCGAACATTCTCGCTTCTTTACTGCACTGAGCCTAACAACCCTATTGCGAGTGTCGACTGGTAGTAGATAAACGACTATTCGATTATCGCTTTTCCATGGTATTGCGAACGTCGTTGTCTCGTTCAGTAAGTCAGTCCTTTTACAAATAAACAGTTGAAGAAGGATGAGCGACTTAAAACTATTCACAGTCGCTTATTGAAAGAAAAATCGACATTCACAATACCATGGAAAAGCGACCATTTATCTACTGCTAGTCGACACTCGCAATAGGGGTGTAATCCTCTCCGCGACCAAATTCACGGCGACCCTTTTCACCACCTGGACGGAGGAGGTCAGGCTTCAACTAGACATTCACGTCGATGACACCAATCCGACGGTGAACAGCCTGAAGAACCAAAGGTTAGGGGTTACCTTTGATAGCCTGCTTTCCCTCTCTGCACACGCAACCGAAATTATCAATAAAGCGTAGAGCCGCAAAAAGGTCCTCAAGTCGCTTGCCGGCAGCACCCGGGGCAAAGACAAAGATACGTTGCTGGCAACATACAGCGCTCGTATGATCGCCGGGGATTAGCTGGACGCAGTAAAAGAAGCTACAGGCTTGTCAAAACGACGCACGCCGGACAGCGATTGGATGCCTTAAGTGGCCTGAACACCCTCTACATAGCAAGGTCCAAAAGCTCCTCGTAAGGGAGCACCAAAAAAGCTCAGCAAGCAGTTTCTGGTAGGGTGTTAAAGACGCGAGCACCCGATCATGCCTATACAGAATAACCACGGGACCCGACGACTTACAGACGAGCTATAAATGTCCTATGAATGTCGTGGTAGGAGGCCAATCTCCACCAGACTAATGGCATTGACTTCCACTTGTGAGATGTTTGGGAAGTTGCCCAGAGGCCATATACGCCAGCTCTAATATTCTCAGGAGTCTTANAATCTCCACCAGACTAATGGCATTGACTTCCACTTGTGAGATGTTTGGGACGTTGCCCAGAGGCCATATAAGCCGTATATTTACTACTGTAGTGTTCTCGCCTGTACATGTCTCTCCATAATAGAGATGCTCCAGGTCGCCTTGCTGTATGTATCAACCTTAAACTTTCTTTTGAAAACTACTACCCAAGCATGTCGTCTCTGGTGAGAGTTTGCAGCCTGTTCATTTAAGAGATGCAATGACATGTGCGCATTGCTCCTGTAATATAAACATACTCTAGACCTTGAATCTTGGAGAGGGTCTGCCAGAGTAGTCCTAGAAGCCAAAACCACTGCACTATAGATTACTGTTAGTCGTACTATCATGGTGTGTACATCAGTCTTAGGATCCTTGGAGTTCATCTCCAGGATTCGCCCGCTAGACGTTTACACACCATCAGCGCTCTCGTAGCTGCGGAGGTGACCGCCTCAACATGGGTCCTCTAGTGAAGTTTGGAGTCCAGCATAATTCCCAGATAATCGCGACATGGGCATGAGACTTTGGGCATGAGACTTCCGCTGGCTCATTTCCTTCTATTCCAATTCGTCCAGTTTACCCTGTTACCGCAAAGCACACCTACATACATATCTTGGGCATCCCAGCGCTTACTGCCTTTATGACTGCCTGGCCAGTATTGAAAACCTATTCAGACGATATTTTGGCTTGGAAAATGCTGCAGTAATCTGGAAGATGGTACAAATTGTACGACGAAAACAGTACCCACCCTTTGAGCCATCTTTGACCCATCCGCGTAAAAGTATAAATGTGGCGGAAGAACCTAGGTCCTTTCCTTCATGCTTCTCGTTCTATTACCAAGGGCCTGAGACACTGCAATGCGGTCTGAGCCTCCGCATATTACTGTGGCCGAACGGCTGTGGTGTCAGCTACGAAAGTTAGTTTCTTTCGTATTTATCTTACCACTAGATGGCTAAGCATGCTGCGATGGAGCAATAGTCAATGCGCTTGTACATGTTTTACTTTTAGAGGGACCGCGAATAGCCGGTAGTGAAAAAATACATATGTACATCATAGCCGTAAGATTTTAACTCAAGCCACTACACGCATTACAAAAGTGGATAGAGAAGCCTCCGCTCATAATTACTACGCCAAAGGGGCCTTTCTCGATATCGATGGGGTGTTCAACCATGCCATTTGGAAGGCAGGCCGGTTAATAGGCTCATTTACAGTTTACTTCGATACAAACTGTTGGGGTGGGGAAGTGCCTCAGCATAGAGTCAGCAGAGTCAATCCGCAAGGTGGCATTCCCTCTNGGACTGGGTAGAGGATAGATTTACTGGAAGAAGGGTGCATTGAAGTTCTTCATGGATGGATCAAAATTTGGAGGCCGGGTTTGGCGGAGGTGTTTTACCGGGAGCTCGCCATATAAATTATGGTCCAGGCTTCCGCACATCTGCAGTATTTTTGAGGCGGAAATAGCTGCTATCAAGGAAGCGGTAGAACTCTGCTGAATAGTGTGACGTCAGTTAACATATACTTTGATAGCCAGGCGGATATTAACTTAATATTATTAAGTCGCTCTAAGCTTTGGTGAACCAGCCTTCGCGAAAAAAATTTGTTATGGCCCTAATGTATCACCCAAAACACAAGTACAAACTGCTGTAGATCACTCATACGCTATGGCATAACCATGAGTATACCTTTAGGCCTCAACCACGGAAAGCTTGCTTTGTGAGTTTTAAATGTTCAGCAAAGCTTTTGTGCACGGAATATCGACTAGACGTGAAAAAGCACCAAAAACGGTGAGCAACTACAAAAAGAAACGTCAGATATGATGCACTCTAGGTCAACGCCTCAGCCAACAAGAGAAAACAAAGAGATCACTTCCACGCGGTTGAAAAGTTTTTTTTGTGAAAACTTTTGGTATAGAGAAGAGTTAATATGTAAATAAAACAAGCACAAAATATAAAAAAAAATAAGAATCAGTGCGGAATCTTTGCACTCAATGCAAAAGCTTTTTATAACATTTCAGTACTAAATCAGCTGCTGATCGCACAAGACGCGTACGCGCAACTCAGAGAAACAGGTTTGTTGTGTGATTCGCGATAATCGCGCATGGAATTCACAAATTGGTACTCGTGCCACTGAGCTCCCTGCAGATGGACGACGCTCATCTCACTTTGTAAAATTGTTAAATTATTAACTAAACCCAACCTAAAATACGCACTTCTTGTTTTTAAAAGTTTTACGTCAGAAGCGCGGCGACGCGTATATATGTACTATGTATGTATGTATTTGCGAAGAGCGAACGTCTGTGATTGTGATTGTGATCATCGTGATGATGATCGTGCTAATGAGCTTGTGCTGAGTGTTTCTACAATACATAGGCGCTTACATAAAAACTTAGACCATTAACGCCATAAAATTAACGCTCAATAGATATCGACTTTGGGTAACGATCGTGCTGCGTAGCGATTCAATCGATCAATGATCATCATTCAACGCCGTTTGCGATGATCGCGATTTTTTAACGAAAAAAAAAAACTTGTGTGTATCTGTGAAGAAGTGAAGGACGCACGCACTGGTTTTTATAATTAAATATATAAACTCAGTTATTTAAATTTGAATTAGCGCAAAATTTTATTTAGCAAGTTTAGCGAACGGATTTCTAGTTTGCACGCTAACTTTGCTCAGCGTCTGAAATTTTTTTCCTTTTTTTAGTTTTTCTGACTTGGTTATTTTTTATTTATTTTTTTCGTCGTTTCTTAATCAAAACAAGATCATTGCAAAAATCACATTTCGCTCTCACTCAACGACGACACTCAAACTGGTCGTTTCGTCTGCCATATGTGGTCAAAAATATAGCGAGAAGCAAAAAATTGTAGTCACCAAAAAAAAAAAAAATAAAATAAAAATCGAAAAAGAAGAGAAGAACGCAAAAAAGACGAATATCGCAAAGAACACACGCTGCTGAAAAGCCGACAGCGCGCACAGCGAGAGGAGGGCGTGCGGTAGGTCGGTCGATACACAAACAAGCTGCTGGCTAACTAAAAGCGAAAAGTCTGAAACAAATTACGAATTAGTATCTGATTTAACTTTGTATCTGTCGGTTGGTTGGTTGGCTGGTTAGCTAAAATTTCTAGTGTTCCGGTCAGTTTGAGAGACGTCCGTTGACGCTGTTTTAACTAATCGCGAGTGATTGAGTGTTTGATCGTGCTGCTTGTGAGTAAATGAGTGAGTGGATTTGTTAGAGATATGGTTCGTTGCGATGCAGAGTTAGTGAATCGTCTGAAGACCATACTATATCCATAACCAAGTGAAAAGTACTAGTGAAGTAGTGGAAGAACAAGAACAGAAATAGTACAAAAATTGAAAAGGCAAAGAAATCATAGCATCTGCTTTTGCCGCCACACATCGCGTAGTGAATGTGCTAGCCAGTGTACATATTTATGATTCGTGAAAATTTTTTTTCGAGTGCTTAAAAAAAAGCTTCTATCAAATTATTTTATTTTTATTTTAACATTTTTTTTATAAATTTTTTTTTTAAATATTTTTTTATATTTTTTTGTATTAAAATTTTTTTTAATATTTATTTTTTTTTTGTATAAAAATTAGACGTGCGGGGTATTTACATTAACTGAAAATATCTAAAAATTTTAGTGGCAAATAAATTTGATAAAAGTAACACGGTGCAAAACAACATCTGGCAACTGGATAGCTAAGCTTAAAAATTTCATACTGAATCATACAACGAGTGTAGTTGAAAACAAAAATAATAAAATAAAAAAAATTAAAATTTTCAGCAGCTACATACAATTAATAACAGCCAGCAACAACGAAATTTGCTCACATAATAAACAACAAAAACAAAACAAAAAACAGCAGCAACAACAACAACAACAACATCAGCAGCAACAGCAGCGTAACCGATTGTGCAGAAAATTATCTACCGGTGTTGTACGCGCTACGGAAAAAATATACAAATAAGGTATCTATAAAGCAACAAGTTAGTATAAAAATAAAAATAGAAAAACAAGTAAAACTAAAAAAAATCAGAAAAAATTTATAAAAGAAAAAATATTAATAAAGTAGCGCAACAGCAAATGTGAGGAATTGAAAAAAAGTTATTTCTAGAAATTGTCAGCGTAGCGTAGTTGATTCCCATTGATGAAAAAAAAACAAATCTCCGAGCGCTCCATCCATGCTCAATTAAGTCTAGACACTTTGCATGGCATAACATTGTCAAAGCGATTGCGTACATACTAAATATAGCGATGGCCCTCTGCAATAACGACACAACTCCAAATAAAAAAAATAAAAAAACTTTACTACCGTTAAGTGGCTTATGTCGCTAATTATTCTTTACATACTTACTATAGTTACTTTGGTAAGGAGTAGAGCAGAATTAGTGACATGAGGTTCTTAGAAGTAGTAAGGGTTTTCTTTTTTGAGTCTAGCAATATTTTTCTGAAATGAAAAGAATCTGAATAGATTTATTGAAGGCTATAATGTGAGAAATAAAAAAAAATTAAAAAAAATAAAAGAAATTAAAGGCATTTTTGGCCTTTGCAAATTTAATTTAAAAATTTTTATTGAACTTGAAACTGTTTCTATTCGAAAATTATTGTGGAAAAACCAAAATAATTTATAAAAGGTAGAAGTTATAGCGGCTACTTCGGAGATCACTACATCTCTTCATCAGACTTCTTCGCTGCGACTCGATCCAAAGCCAGTGGTCTACACACTCTGCTAAATTTGCCTTATAAACTGTTGTTGCTTTTTCCACTTTTTTCAAATTTAAGTAAAACAAAATAAATAGAAACTCAACTCAAACCAAAATTAAAGTTACAAAAGCTGTTAAATATAAAATTAAAGGAATTTATAATTATAATGCTTTACAATTTCTAAACTTTAAAGTTTTAAAACTATTTTAAAATTAACATTTTTTATAAAAACTCAAAAATTTATGTTTTTTAAAGTTCAGTAAAATTTTGGAGTTATTTAAACTTATTTTTTTTTTTAATTTCCGAAATATAAGTATTTACAAATTTTCCGAGATTAAGGGCTTTTATGAATTAAAAAAATTAAAATTTTTTAAAATTCTATTGAATGTAAACTAGTAAGTTTTTTAAATTTTCTAAAATTCACAATTTTTTAAAATTTCGAGTTTTGATAATTTTCTGAAATTTAAAGTTTTGAAAAGCATTTTTTGCCTTTGTAAATTTAAGTTAAGCCAAATAAATTGAAACAACTCCAACCAAAATTAAAGTTACAAAATTGGCACATAAATTAAAACTTAAAAGAATTTTTCAATAGTTTTATTACTTCTAAAATTAAAATTTTTAAAACTACATATTCTAAAATTAACATTTTTATAAACATTCGAAAATTTATGATTTTCAAAGTTCAGTAAAATTTTGAAGTGTTTTAAATTTAAATTTTCCGAAATTTAAAGTTTCTAAAATAAAAGTTTTTTTTATAAATTTTTAAAAATCTAAAGTTCTTAAAATTATATTAAATTTATAGGTTTCTAATTTTCTAAAATAATAAGTTTTTAAAATTTTCTTAAAACACAAATTTTTTGATGGTTTTAGAATTTTAATGTTTTGAAAATTTTTGGTTGGAAAATTATAATTTTTTTTTAAATTTTACAAATTTTCTAAAATTTAAATCATAATATTGTTTTTGAAATTTTTAAAAATTATTCTGAAAATTTTAAATTATTATTATTATTTTTTTTTAATTATACATATACATATGTATGTATGTATACGTAATATTAAAAGTTTTTGAAATTTATATCATACTTCGAAAGTTTTTTAATTAAACCGTTATAATACTTTAAGTTCTTTAAATTTTTTTAAATTTTAAGATCCTTGGTTTTAAAATTAACGATTTTTAATATATATTAATATATAATTTTTAGAACCTTAACCTAATTCATAGTCAAAATGAAGTCGGCTTTAGCTTTTTGATATAACTTCCAATGAAAAATCCTCAACAAACTTTAGAATCGACTTTTTTTCGACTATAAAATGACCCTTTATATTTTCCTAAATTTAACATTTTCTAAAATTTAAAAACTTTCTAAGTTCTTTTAATTTTCTAATTTTGTAAATTTCTAAATCTTTTATAGCTTTAAAAATCCTTAACTTCACCGAATTCTCTTTTTACGAAACTCCTAATTTTTAATATTTCCTGAAAAAAAGAATTTTTTTAATTTTCCGGCAAAACTACTCCCTTTACGAAATTTTTTTCTGCTGCAAACTTTCAAATATTAAGAATAAAAAATTTGTCGAAACTTCAAAATTTTTTTAAATTAAAAATTGTATAATTTTCAAAAATTTCACATTAAAGATGTCTAAGTACCTTAAACATTTTTTAAATATCAATTACAAAATTCCCTGTTTTACGAAAATCAATTACAAATTTTGATTTTCAAAATCTCAAAACGAAACATTTTCCATGCGAAGTTCTCCCTTTACGAAATATGTATGTGTGTTTATACAAGTGTAGGTATAAATGTATTAATTTTTGTCTGCCTTCAGCATTCAAAAACGTCATATTTATTTTTATTTGATTTATTATAAAAAGTTACAAAAAAAATAAGTTTTCACTTTAATTGAAACCGGTAGTAATTTCATTAAATAATTATTTTGGCATTTCAAATTAACAATTTTAAACATTTTTAAAATTATCAAGTCATTGATTTTTAAATTTGGGCATTTTAAAAAATTTATAAATTTTAAATTTTGTAATTTTCTTTTTTCATGGAATCGCCTGAAAATTTCCGCTTTATCGAATTTTAATTGTTTTCTGTTTCGCTGTTGCTGACATAAATCATTTCCAGCCATTTATTGGGTTTTCGAAAGATTCGCAAAAACAAATGAAACCATTTCATTAAAAAACCTTTTTCAATATTTTCCAATTTATAATTTTTTTAATGGTTAACTGATTGAGTTTTAAATTTTACATTTTCGAAAAGCCAGTTTTACGAAAGCAATTTTAATGAAAAATTACTTTTTATTTGATTTTAATATGAAAACTGACAGAAAAAAATCATTTTGCACTTAAGTTGCTTTCGTTAAAGCGCCAGTAAAATTTACAAATCATCATATTGCGAAATTTCTAAACTCCAACAAATTCTGCCTTGTTCACTAAATTCATAATTTTATAATTTTTAAAACTTTCTAAATTCTCTAAATTTTCGGCTGGTTCCCAAGTATATCCCCCTTTATGAAATTAAATTTTTTTTCTGCAGCCGACTTTCGCCGCTGCTCAAAAGTTTTCCACTCATTTTTCGGTTTTTCGAAAATTTTCATGGTTTCATTTCTTTAAATAAATTTTATTTTTAGCACTTTTGCTTATTTTCGATTTCTTTATTTTTTTGTGTTCATTTCATTTCATTTTTATTTATTTATTTCGCTGATTTGGCTGCTTGGTGTTGTTGTTGTTGTTGTAGCTTTTGCGCGCGTTATGTGATTTGCACTCGTTTATTCTTTGGTTTTTCGAATTTGGAATTTCTATTATGTTAATACATATGTACACATGTATGTATGTATGTACATAGGAGTATGAATGTACATATGTATGAATGCATGTAGGTTGTGGGTTAGTTATACGTTTGCCTTGGGTTGCGGCTTTTGTTGTTGTTATTTTTTTTTATCTTTTCAAATAAACAAAAATGATCTTATAAACAGGGTGCGTCAAAATTATATGAAATGCAAAGTGAAACATGCTCGATTTTAGAAGAAAAAATTTTCGCTGAATTATTTAATATATAAGCGTACCCCTGGGTTTTCTGGTTGCCACTGTGATGCCTCCTACCCAATCCGATGGCAGGATACCTAAAATAGCGTTCAGTGCATCGTTCGGCGTGGTTCTGAGAGCTCCGCCTTCGTGAGCGGCCTGATATTGAAATATTTTTTTTTTTAATGCAGGCCACTGTACTGAGAATTTGTCTAACGACTGCTATAAATGGCCGTTGACAAGTCTAGGGATTAAGGTCACATTTTTTGCCTATGACCCTTTAACAAGTACAGAGGGCTAAAGAAGCCCTCTCATAACGTGAATAATATTATTCTTCCAGTGGCTTTTGTAGTAAGACTAAAACGTGCGCCGTTTAGCTGCGGTGAAGTCCATCCTAGATATAGAGAGTTATGCCCTCCACTCATCACAATATATCTTTTAATCGGAAGTATTCCAGGAAGTCCAGGAGGGTCTTTGGAGGTAAAGAGTGTAGGTACTATCTCTCTCTCTCTGGCCTCATTGAGCCTTTGCTGTTCATTCTTCGCTGCGGTACGGCATCATTGAGCTCCACCTAACTCGAGTTAACACTTAGGCCCCAGTGGGTGGACCATACCATACATCCCGATGCGTTTGGTGCATCAGCTGACATAGCGTTTACGGAAACTTTCCCCAGAACGTCACGGCAACGTCTCTCGCGTATGCAACGACTTTTCCGCTCTCCCAATCCGTTTCGACGGTTAGGTTCCAACTCCCTGCGGCATACACCTCGTCACGTTTGCTTCGGTTTCAACACTACAAACTGCTCAAGGGTGTGCACTAAGGACACCTCTACATGAAAGTGTACAGAACTACATTTAAATCGCGAAATTAAATTTTTTGAATTTTCTGCAGTTTTTCCGAGCTTCGGGGCTAGTGTGCCATGGTGGAATGTTGCTTTTGAGGCTTGTTTAACGGCCGCAATATTTTATCAATGATTAATTAGTCGTAGATAGGTACATATGCATATCAAATTTAGATAAATAAAAGGCTTTTTGATAACAAATATTCATACATACATACTTACATACATATGGGGATGGCCAACCTTCATTTTGTGTACACTAACTTTCTAAGGAGGTTCATGTGCGTCAATGGGAATTGCTCGATCATGCATAATCAGCAGGTCAACGAACTGGAGGCAGGGTTTCCGACTATCCTTAGCTATGCGAGGTGCCATATTGGAGACAATCGGAGATAAGGAAGTGCCAGATA